GTATGAAGTTAAATTTCATTTTAGTTTAGTTAAATTCTCTAAAAGAGTTTTAAAAAAAAAGCCTCACTGTATATACTCAAAGATTCTTTGTTTTGTCTTTTTCAACATTCTCTTCTCCAGAGGTTTACGCTGAGAAAAAAGGATCCTCAAATCATTTTGAATATCTTTCTCCCATGCAAAATGAACCCAAATCATCCTAAAGATTGGGCTGTATAAAGGATAATTTTAAAAGTCTCACAATAATACACTTATCTTAGAATTTCTTTTGTCTTTTTTTACTTTAAATTTTAAATGATTTCTATTAAGGATGCAAAAACATACATAGCTAGCTAAACGTCCCTGGGAGTTGACCTATCACTTGAGCCTTCTTCCATTCACAAAGGTAGGGTGGAGGTGGGAAGCACTCTAGCTTAGCGGGCATACATCCAGGTTTCCGTAGTCAGCCCACCTCTCCTAATTAATAGCTGGGTTTTGTGGCCGTAACTTCGTGGGGTCTTTGTTTTCTCATCTGTCAAACAGAATAAATTCTTGCTCTCCCTACCTCTCAGCCTCTCACAAGCTTGCTGCAACGAGCAAACGAGAAGTGCATTTCTGTATTTTGTGGCCTTTGCATTTCACAACATGTCATACAAATGGAAGGTATTATTACAAACTACCCCCCCAAATTCTTTTATATTTGCTTAATCTTACTGGTTCCTTCACTAATATGATTATCTGAAGCTCTCTACTACAAATTCAAATGTGACACTGCAAAGAACTCAAAGAGGCTAAGTGCACAGGATGAGCACAGAAATACAATGGATTCCCCTCTGCTGCCCAGTTTTCTGTTTTGGAATGTACACATCTGCAGAGCAATCTCTGCACACTTAAGCCACACTATCCCAAAACAGCACAGACTCAGAGAACTCAGCACATACTGGGCTTTTTCTGCTGCCTAGTGTATAATTTCTAGCCATTTTAAGGATGCATGGATTAAAAATAGCCCTGGCGGTGAATGAAAATCACCCCCCAAAGACAGGGGCAACTCTATGCAGGCTTGGGGATCAATTAAAGCCTCTGGGGCTAATATTAATGTGAGCCTGGAACTGAAAGTGGTGGAGTGAGGGGGAGGACATCCACCCAGCTCTGCTCACTCCCCTGAGAGCCCTGGGGACACTCTGCACCACCCCAGGTCTCTAGACATCAGGGTCCTGCAGTCTGTGACATTTACGATCAGACCTGGGACTAGAATAACAAACTGAATTTTAAAAATAAAAGCATTTAATTCTTGGGGGTGGCCCAGTGGCGCAAGCGGTTAAGTGCGTGCACTCCGCTTCGGCGGCCCGGGGTTCAAAGGTTCAGATCCCGGGCGCGCACCGACACACCGCTTGTCACGCCATGCTGAGGCAGCGTGGCAGCGTCCCACATAAAGTAGAGGAAGATGGGCACAGATGTTAGCTCAGGGCCAATCTTCCTCGGCAAAAAAGAGGAGGATCAGCATCGGATGTTAGCTCAGGGCTGATCTTCGTCACACACAAAAAATAAATAAATAAAAGCATTTAATACTTTATCTAGTCTACATGTTTTCAGAGTGATATCATTAGTCCCAAATGCTTTGTCCATTAAGGAAAAAAGAACACAGATCTGGGTACTTAAGTTATTACATAAGTAAATACTTTTTCAGCAAACAGACAAGACATGGTAATACCACAAATTTCAAATGAGAAACTTAATAATGAAGGGTTTGGGGGTGGTGGGTGAGCAGCTGCTGTTCACTGATCTTCCAAAATCTCACCCCTCATGTAACAATGTTCTAAGAAATACAGTGCCAACTTTTTACACTCTTTGCAACACCACAAACATTACTGAAAACAATTCAAATTACAGCTCCATTAGTGTTCCTGGATAAATTATTTAGGATGCATGAGCAGTGTTTCTCATGAGCTACAGGAAATATACACTCTATAGTTCAGTTTGGTTTTTTTTGTTTTTTTTTTTGTTTTTGCTGAGGAAGATTTGTCCTGAGCTAACATCTATTGCCAAGCTTCCACTTTTTGCTACAGAAAGATTCTCCCTGAGCTAACATCTGTGCCAATCTTCCTCTATTTTGTATGTGGGTCTCCGCCACAGCATGGCTGCTGATGAGTGGTGAGATCCATGCCTGGGAACCGAACCCAAGCCATAGAAGCAGAGCACGTGAACTTAACCACTAGGCCATGGGGCCAGCCCCTATAGCTCAGTTTCTTTAGCGCTCAAGTAGAGCAGAGATGTAGCCAACTCAATTTAAATATTAAGGCATTTCCTTTCTGTTTTTGTAATACACTGTATATATTTTTAGGTTTGCCGAAACATAAAATTTCAAAAAGCATAACCTCTTTCCGACACAGTACATATATATTATTTGTGGAATCTTTTCTCAACTTACTTGTGTTATAGCACAAGTGATCATAAAGAGCACCAGATAGTAAACAGTCATAAATCAGGTTCCTCTGGGCAAAATGTAAACTGTGAATCTTGTGGAGAAAAATCTGGGTGGCTTTGTTCAACCAATATATTCCCTTGCTGAAGCATTCTTTTAGTCTCAGAACACTTCTGTTTTTCTGCTCAAGTTTATCATATATACTTTTATTATAAAAGTTTTTAAATGTGAAAAGAGAAGGACACCTGCACAACCTCTCCATCCTAATGTGATTCACTGTTAGTATTTTCCTGGGGTTATTATCAGTGTTTTTTCCTTTGCATAGAACCTAAAATTTTTTATCATTTCAACATGTTAAATAATAATATATACTTTCATATTCTGCTTTTTTCACCTGACATTATGTCTTTCCAGTGTTGTTCTAGGGTCTTACTGCACTGTCCAATACGGTAAGCACTAGTCACATGTCGCTATTTAAACAAATTAAAAATCAGTTCCTCAGTCACACTAGCCGCATTTCAAGTGCTCGACAGCCACATGTAGTTAATGGCTACTGTGTAAATATATGACATTTCCATCATAGCAGAAGTTCTATGGGCAATGCTGCCTATGACTCTCTCCAGCAAATGACTATGTTGGGCTAAACAAAAAATCATTAGCTCTTGTCAACAGAGTTCATATGCCCTCCTCATGTGCCTGTAGACTGTACGAGACACTCTTCCTTTTACCCAGAAGATGGGATGCTAATCACAGCTATTCTGAGATAACACAATGTGCCCAAGAGGAACTGTCCGAGGGAATGGGAAAACATCTATCTTTATGTTTGATAGGTCTCAAATTGAAACAGATCAAATTTCATTAAGTACAATGTAATCACGGACGGCTCAATGACAAAGTCAGACTGTACAGAACAGCAAGGGTAGATGATGCTTACTGACAAAACAAAAAAAAAACTGAGAATAACTAGGATGCGGGCCAAGGGACAAAACCTTGGGAAGAAAGGTTATTCAGTCAAAATAGTGTCGATTATGTTGCAGAAACAAACAAACCCCAAATCACAGTAGCTAAACCTAAGGTTTATATCTTGCTCATGCTACATTTCCATCCTGGGCTGGCAGGCATGCTCAGCGTAATCACTCAGTGCAATCACTCTGAGACACAAGATGACAGTATGGCCACCAACCTTGAACCCTGCTAGTCCAGGAGCCACAGAAAAGGAAGATCTGTGCAAAAGCGTGTACCAGTGCTTTGAAAGCTTTCTCCTGGAAGTGAGTCACTCACATCTCGTCAGTCAAAGCAAGTCTCCTGGCCTTACTGCACTTCAAGAGGGTGGGCAGGTGCACTCCTCTCACACGTCAGGGAGGAGAGGGAAGAACAGCAACAGGTGTTAACAGCCTTAACGACTACTTCAAGGGGCAAAACATGGGACTCTTGATAGGAAACAACTGTCAAGTCTAACATCATTGAAACCAGCATTCTGGTAAACTCAGCCAGAACACTTGAGGCACAGATGAATTAAAACACTGCAAAAGAAAAAATAATCCATACAAGAGACGAAAGTAATATACTCAGAAAGGTTTCAGAGAGCATGAACACTGCTGAAACCTTAACACCTAAATGGCAAAGGCGTCAATTCCTGCCCTACCTCCTCTAACCAGCCTTCACTAGTTACTCAAGGCCACACTGCTCTCTTCCTGCAACACTTGGGGCACTTGCTGTCCTTATCGCCCTCTGCCTTTCTATGATCTCCATTCACACTCTCCTCCAACTGCCTCCTGCGTGTGGGTTCCTTCACAAACGAGGCTGAAAGTTCTTCTGGGCCAAATGGTGACATATTCCATGTACCATTTAGCAGAATGCTTAGGCTTTGGCAGATGATCAAAACTGTGCCAAGCTAAATACTTTCCAAATCTAAATGGGGGGAATAAATTCCGAAAAAGAGATGTTTGGGAAATATTCATAATACTAGCCCATGGGGGTAAAAGCTCAGCTCTGGGCAAGTTCTGAGCCCACAGGCAGGGAATAACTCTCTAACCTAGCAACTCGAACGCATTCTTTCACCACCCACACACGTACTGGAGGCTTCTTGTGTGCCAGGGCCTGTGCGTGGTGTCAGTGATACAAAAACGACCATACTGTATTAGTAGGCTTTGGTCTTCATCCTCGGGTAACCAACTTGTACTTCTTCCCACGGAAACCCAATGCCTTCCCTCTGATCTAGCATGGTACTTCCGCAATTTATGGCTTCACTCTAACTATATACTTCTAACTGGTCCCTTCTCACTACAAACTTCATAACAGATTTGATAAAGTGCTCAGTATTCAAGGGTCTGCAATACCTGTGACTGTCTTCTCATAATTCTTCAATTTGTGTGTCTACAGGATTTTCAAACAAAGAAAAGCCTTTGAAGTGGAAGGGTAAAGGATATAAAATATAAATAGAAGAACACAGAAAAGAGAATAAAGAAAGTGGATTTGAAATATTAAGACTCTGGCTTTTAGATTCTACTACTTTTCATCAAGATGTTAAATAATACTTGCCTGGCAACCAGAGAGTACACACACATAACGAGGTCGTTATACATTTATACATAATCCCTACCTGTTATTTTCTGATCTCAGTGCATCAATTTGGAACACAACGTATTGCTTATTCTCTTTAGTAGGAGCCAGTCTATAGCCAGAAGAGAAAATCCATAGAGAATCTACAACCTAAACTGGAAATCTATCACTGAAGATAGGACCAAGGGCTAAAAGCTAATCATGTACACCTGCTTAGCCTAGGTATCTAGAAAACTACACAGCAATGGGCTATCACACCTGCAGTCTCTTTGTCATCTAGACGTGTCTCAAGTCCTAGGAAATGAATAAGGTTTCTTTTCAAGATGATGTAATAAAAAAAACTAGTGTGGGACATGAGCACTTTCTGTGCAAATAGAAAGAACTGCATAAAGATTAAGAAATTCCATTTTTACTAGCCAGGTTATCAGAAATGAACTTATTAGTTTATATTCTCCAGTAACAATTAAAATGAATTCTTTTCGTGACTAGTAGGATTGTTCTTATAGATAAGACTACTACTTGATAGCAACAGGAACTAGCAAATATCTTAATAAATTGCAGGCACATAACAGACCTGGTAGAACCAACTATATAATGATAAAGTATATAGGTGAAAGCACTCAGTTCTACATAGAATCAGAAGTACTAACTAGACTTTCATTCAAGCAAAACAAATGAGATCTAGATCAAGTGTTACTGAGACTAAATAAAAGGCAAGAGAGCTTTCTGTCCAACCTGGATAAATTCTCCTCCCCTCACTGTGCTGTCAGATGCTTACAGAACTGGAAGTTTGGATCAGTCTCCACGTTCTGATAGTTTTAACTCGATCAGCCTCTATGTTCTTACAGTTTTAACTGGATCGGCTTCCAAGTTCTTAAAGTTTTAACTGGGCTAACTATTAAGGAGATGAACTGCTTATGTAAAGTAACTGTTTTATTTCTAACTTTCACTTGACTGGCAGTTATCTGATGATTCATACTCATCTGTTAACATTTCTGGTTTGAAAAGCTGGACTGCTTTTCACAGATTAAAATTTTTTTGCAGGTTATCCCATTATAATAACGAGTGAGATGCTCAGTTCATCTAGATTTACTAGATGTCAGAATTCTTCAGCAGGCCTATAAAATGGCATTTGCCTTTAAACAAGTCCTTATGGAAATTTACAAAAATGCCTTTTTTCCCTAGAAGGGACAAACTCCGTGTCAGACAGTTCACAGGATGAAAAAACACGCCTGAAGCCATTTGGGTGAAGGGGAGGGGGAACTGTACACACTTGCATCTGAAAGAAAGAGAGTCCTCTTGCAAAACGTTAACAGCTACCAAACAAATCCAAAAATCAAAACAAAACCAAGTTCATTATTAGGAAACTCTAAAAGCTTTTAGAAAAACTGTTGGAAAAGTGATGAAACAACTAAATTTTAGAAATTGAAAAACGTCAATTAGGAGGAAAAAACCTGATCTTCACTCTAAGAAATGCAAATTTTCAAAAGCCCTAACCAAGTTTATTTAGAAACAAAAAATTAAAACAAGTAGATTTTTAGAATTTTTGAAAATGCAAAAAGCTCTAATATGATGAAACCCACTTTGTCAAGTATGAAACATTTTATCCAAGAAAATACTAGATCACTGTACTAAAATATTTTTTCAAAGTGATACTGTTGCTTGTCAAAATGTCTGTGCATAAAAATTCTACAGCTTTCAACTACTCATCTCAAAACCACAAAGTGATCTATCTCCTGAGTGTCAATGAGTGGGGGTAAAAACGGCCTGAAATTCTGCACCTCATTGGTAAGACAGGGGTCAATTTTTTTTTAATTAGTATAAAAAGCCATAAGCTAAGTAATACACATTACAGTTCTCCGAAATGAAATTAGGTAATAAGCAATACTTTGGTAATGTTTTAATATCTGTCAATAAGAGATATTCAATTAAATATAAAAATTTTAAATAGATTACCTGACATTTCCTACTAGTTAGAAATTTTAAAAGGATCAGAATAAAATTCTCTATTTGATTTTGCAAAAGGATATACATTTGAGAACTCAGAATACGTTCAAAGTACATTTTCAATTTTCATTCATTAATTATATGCTTCAAAGATTAAATCAAGTCTTTAGATGAGACTCTTAATATAGTTCTGCTTATAGTTAGGAAGCTATTTAAATGAACAGTGTCATCATTGAAAAGATAACCTGCTATAGTTTCATCAAAGTGTATTCTGACTCATATAAAAATTTATTATTTTTGCTATAGAACTTCTTCCTTTTGCATAAATTAGGGAAATACCAGAGCTGAAACAAAAGCAGGTTTGTTTACGTTAGGACCATCTTGAAACTTTTAATATGGTAATATGCATCTGGAACCTCCAGGAGGAAACAAAGTAGAGAGCATTTTCCAGACTTATTTAATTAGGGACCACTTTTGCGTTCCTCAAAACACACTTTGGGAAATATGACCCTCTAACCAGAAAGAATTAACATTTTCCCTAAGGCCCAGGTTATAAGCAAGACACAGATCATCTAGGGTCCTTATATCCTGAATTTCCCAGGATTGAAAAGTTAAACTGAAGATATAATTTAGGAATAAGATCATTAAGTACATTCTTCTCCTTCTCTTTCCTTTAAATAATCTGCATAAATTGTACTGTTCTATACAGTAAATCAAACAGCACTCCCTTTTACACGGTATCAGAAACTTCCAGAGTCTTCTCCCTTTTTCCCTAGGCATGCCTCAGTCCTCATTTATTATCTTTGATTACATACACTTAGGGGCTCTTGGTTGATGTCCACACTCTCCATGCATTCTCTGCAACACTGTACAAGCAGGTCCACCACCACTTACCAACCAGTGCACACTACACGCAGAGCAGCAAGGCAGGAACCTGAGCATCAAAGAGGTTTACAGCTGTTGAAATGATCCTGGATTTGTTTCCACTTCACAAAACAACCAAGCTACTTTTTAGTGGATCAAAAGACAAGACGGAAAGGGGGCGAGGGGAGGGCAAAAAGGGTAAAGGGGCACATGTGTATGGATGGTAACTAGACTTTTGGTGGTGAACGCGATGCAGTCTATACAGAAGTCAAAATATAATAATATACACCTGAAATTTATATAATGTTATAAACCAATGTGACCTCAATTAAAAAAAAAAGACATCTTAACAATAGGATGTCAATGGCAGAGCCACCACTAGGAGTGAAGCCAACTGGCCAGTTGCCTCTACAACGGAGGCAGGCTGAGTATGGTGCTGAGACGGGCACTCCAGGCTGGTGGAGGGGCAAGACAAAGCAGAGGTACCTGTATTTAACAAACATTTGCTGGGTGTCAGGCACAGCTGCTAAAAAATTTAGAAACGCTACCAAATTGAAGTGTACTTTGAAGCATCCCTGAATCTGGGAAGCGCACCGAGAAGCCTTACTACACATAGAGCCAAACTGCAGCAGCATTAATATGACTATTTATCTATGGAGTTCTCCAACGGAATAGACATAGTCCTCAAAACCCAAAATACAAATACTTCAAAGACAGGTTAACAATGCAATATTCCTGAAAATATATTTAAGATAATCAGCAAAGTATGATACTCAGCAAAAATGACACATTTTGGATTGGAATTTTACACTAATTAAAATCCTTCCCCTCAAAAAATAGACTGAAATGAATATCTGTAGAGCCTTCTACAGGTTGAAACTCTTTAAATTTCACCAATATGTTTAAACCATAAATATTATTACATTATAAAAGTAAATGTAAAGGAATAAAAAAAGTAGCAGAAATATACACTGCACGGCTCAGAAAAACATATACGCAAAGATGGAAGAAAAACAGTTAACTATCCAAACACTAAACATAAAAATCAACTTTCAAATGACTCATCAAGTATAAAATTGATTACTCCTTTCTTATAGATTCTGGTGAAGTTTTCTATCGTGAAATATTTGATTTGGGGGTTAGTAATAAATATGCTACTCAGGTGAATATGAAATTAGACAATTCTAGAAAGACAGAGATTATCATCCCTTGAACTATTTCATAAATCAGAGTAATCTTATCCAAATGCATCTTCCATGTGTTACCTATTAGTAACTGTAACTACCGGAATGATTTTTGCCTAGAGTTGTGTTCTAGACCTTGAGCATTCATGTTGCAACTCTCACTGACAATGTCAAAGATCTGTAATTCATGCAAACGTCACTACCTAAAACCAAATCTCCTACCTTGACCTCTCAGTCCAGTATTTCCAACTGCGCATAGGATATTTCCATTTGGACTTAAGCTAGCTGGGCCTCAATTTGTACAACAATTGCACATATATGCACTCATATTTAACTATTACCCTTCCTTCAATGTTGTCATTCTTTCCTTCCCTGAAAGAATCTCACGTCAACTTCACTCTTCTGCGCTGCCTGCATCACCAACCTACAACAACTTGCTCTACACCTGAATCACGACTGTATATTCTATTATGTTCCAGCAAAATCCCCTTTGTGTCTCTGTGTCCTTGGGAGAGGGGTGAAGATGAAGCACTCTGGTTGGATTCAGCTTCCACAGCAGAGCCAACACCACCCACGCCTCCTACAAGGCTAAATAACTACTGCTCTAGCATGAAGGTGCTGGGAAAGAGCAGGAGTCATGGAACGCAGAGAACGAGCTAACTACAATATGAGGATACCTCCCCAAAGATCTGAGATCTTTACTACAAGAGCAATTGGGGATACAGCTTAAGAGGGGCGATAGTCACTGTGATGGTTAATTTTTTGTGTCAACTTGACTGGGCCATGGGTGCTCAGATATTTGGTTCAACATGATTCTGAGCCTGTCTGTGAGGGTGTTTCTAGATGAGATTAACACTTGCATCAGTAGACTGAGTAAAGCAGACTGCCCTTCCCGATGTGGGTGGGCCTCATCCAGTCCATTGAAGGCCTGAATAGAATAAAGACTGAGTAGGAAAAAATTCTTTCTCTCTGCCTATCTTTAAACTGGGATATTGGTCTTCTCCTGCCTTCCAACTTAAACTACAACTTACACCATCAGCTCTACTCATTATCAGGCCTTCAG